GTACACGTTACCGTGCGATTACTTCCTGGCAATTGGGATTTTTACCCGCGAATCCAACACAAGCGTATTTCTACCTTAGCCAAACGCGAAATATCATTACTTCCGGAAATGTCAGCCTCGTCTGACAATTTTTCATCCCCGATTCTCCTCCCTCTCTGCCACGTTTTTCTCCATCCATACTTTCATCCGTACGCTCTCCACAGCCTCTCGTTGTTTCTGCTAATTATGCGCTAATTGATTAGTGCTCAGCCAACGAATTAGAGGCACTCGCCTGTTACTCTGGCGGCTGGTGTCAATGCAAGAAACTTAATTTACAACTGCACCAGAGCGCGGAGTGCGGACCGCATCCCCAACTTGTGTAATTAACGTTTTCACCTAGATTAGTGTATATATATATATGTATATCGAATTTCTATATAGATACGTATGCAAAGGATACGTGAAGCGTAACGTTAAACGTTACAGAAAAGAAAAAAGGTATATGACTCGTATATCCAAAAATGCGTAATGCTCGAACGTCACGCTACACGACAACGGTATACCCTCGAGTTGTCGTTTGATAAACCGACGCTTCCCGTCCCGACGAAAAGCGTTGGGACGGTAAGCTTTCAACGAGAGTACCAACTGACATTAGGGAGCATCCGCAAGGCAGCTTGGGTGGCAGGACGTTCTTGCGAAAACAATGGGTCCATCTGCATCTATGGGTTTCCATTAGATAGGATTCGGCTTATCCCTCTGAGGTATTTGACAAGTGGCTTCCACGGTGCAACCTTAATGGATATGCCTCGTTGCATCGGAAGCTGCGTTTGCCTTCTCTCTGTATAGCGACTGGTCGTCTGGGGTTATATATGGGTGTGTATAGATATATGCACGATCGTGTAGCAGAATATAGGTTATATCAGTCCACCCAAGCAGCTGCACAGCTGAAACGAAATATGCCCTTGCGTCACGCGTCGCTGATAATTTAACTTGACCGCAATTAGCTCGACACGCGTTAACTTAGTCATGCAGTCGTCTGTGCCGTGTTAATAGAGACTATGTGGTTAACGTAGAGCCGGCGCACACTCGTTAAATAGCCAGGACGTCCCATTGCACCGAATCAGAGTAAAAGTCAATGCGCATTCGATATTGGTAAACTAGCGATTATATCATGCTTGGTTACCATTGCGTGCTCCTTGGAGATGTAAATCCCGTGAGAGCCTCTGGATTATTCGATATACATGTAATACGTGTATATTATATATATATGCACGAATAAGAATATATATACGCGTTGTTTCGCATTAGCTCTGTATGTCCATGTACTTTTGAACGTATAGGTATACGCGTATATAGCTTTAGAATTTGTAAGAAGGTAACCCGCAAATTTTCGTCTCTAATGTAATTTCGTGGGGAACGCAGAGAGCTTGTACTTACCACCGGTTGTACTTGTGCATGGATACCGGTACAAAGGTCATATACTTGCCGCACAACTAGTATCGGAGGTGGGTACAGTACTGTACGTAGGGGCGTACCGCTTTCGTTATCGCAGAGACGGAAATTTTATTACTCTGTGCGCTATGTTATCCGAGAAGGACATCTCGAGTTTCAGGGAAGAACAAAAGGAACGTCGTGTACACGTCTGCCAGCTGCCCCGTAGCACCGCGAGCGTTCTTGAGACTTAATGAATGGCAGGTGGTCCGGGGTTGGGAGTTTCAAGAAGCACGATTTCTCCTCATTTTCCACGTTACAAACGTTTCAAACGTTTCTGCCGCAACGTACAAAACAGCCTTCGTATCCGTGCGAACTGCCGCGATAAACTTGGCCACATCACAAGAGGGATGATCGTAACCTCTTGATATTCTATATAGGGTGTGCTTCTTGACTCGCTACGTTACTTAATGGTTAGCTGTAGTCTTTTTAAAAAATAAAATTTTCTTTCTAATTTTTACATAAAAATCTATGACCCCCCCCCCAGCGATGGATTATCTCTTGCATCTCCTTTGGCTGCCTCGTTGCAATTTTTTATTTTCCTTTATTTTTGATATTTCCTTTTTTTATTCCAGTAAATTTATCTACGGTGGCTACGGGCCGAGATAGCTCAGACCTTAATCTCCAAAGGATCATAATCCTTCAAAGGATGATGAATTTCGTTATTAGATGCGATACGCCAACAAGATACATGGTCGTTCACGCTGGTCGTACAGCTGATATCATCTACCTGGCTTATGCAGGTACTGGGATTTTGCAGGATTGTGAGATCCGCAGAAGAAATGGCCAATTCAGATATCATCGGGTTTAGAGTTTAACGTGTAATTCTGTTGGGACGCCCGATTTGCACATTCGCGTTTCTATTATTTGTGAAGCGATGCCGATCTACGAGGCGCGAAGAGCTTTACCTGAACAGATAAAAGGGATTTATAGGATGTTTTTCCCACGGTGACTCATGGCCACTGTAATGTCTTGGACATTTGTAAATCATTCGACGATCCATCCACGGTTTTTCTACGTCCAGCGCCACTACGGCTCCTCTCCATCCTGCCGGAAGGACCTAAGTGTATCCCAGCCTCACAGACCACGTTACCGCGTACTTTGTATCAAGCAGCATCGCGATACGTAAAATCTATGAGCGTAGCTTTTTACGATTTGGCAAATAGAGAAGCAGAGCAGGGTAGCAGTAAGAAAAAATCGTATATTATTGAAATTTGATCGATATAATATTTATCTCCTCGCCCTTCCAAACCCTCTTGCCCTATCTGTCTCTCTCACTTTTCACTATACCCGGGAGGAAAAAAATTCACATGAATCACGCAAGTTTAAGTCGATATCGTGGAACGTCCAGGAGTTACAACTCTTTCGAATATCGAGGAGTGCACTCAAAGATCTTCTGGACGATGTAAATCATCGACTTTCGTGACCCCTGACCTTTTTCTCCGCTTTGTATTTTTCCTCCCCCAAGATATATCCACGCTACGACGTTTCGAGTGGATATCGATGAGCATTGGTGCATGTCACCAATGGGACCCATTACATCCAGTGCCAGGGCAATACCCATCCAGTGATAGCGCGCATGTCCTGATACGAACAGTTGAATGATTTCGATTTAGCCAATAGCGATCAACGAGTTGCACCTGAAACGCCATTAGCGTAGTACACAAAAGCAAATATTGGATTGGGATCCACCGTGGAGATTGCCTTGTTTAAGGGCAGAGTTTCGTCCAATTGTCGCACCCGTTTAATTGACAGCTGCACACACACAATATATATATATATATATATATATATATATATAATTATTTACACCTAAAATCCATACAAATATCCATATAACGTACCTTCGCCATACAAGGAAGATGACGCGAATCGATTCTACAGGAGAATTTCCTAGCTTTGACCAATCCTCGTGAAGGTATATTGTAGCATGAAATTCATTTCGAAAGCGACTAACCGGATTTCCTTTGGAGCCAAGTTATACGTCCGAGAGAGTTAAGTCAGCCACGAAAGGGACGACGTTGGGTAGCAAAGGCGTTACTTCCTATCGTCGCCATACGTTCCGCCATAAACCCAGCTAAAAAGCTCAAAAGACGTATCACGTTTATATGGTGAGCGTAGACCTAATGTAGCGTCGTGATGGCACTCAGAATCTGAAAGGGACAGAAGAAGCGAATCTAGGAAAAACAAGAGTAAAACAAATAAAGGTATTCAGGTCAGCACTAAGTTGTGTAGGAGCATCCTGTGGTCCAGGAGCAAGTATACACGTATCCCTATAATGGCATTCACCGTCATATCCTTTACTCGTGCGTTTCGTGAAGTCTACACATACGTTATATTTGTCTGGTTCCAATAAACATGAAACTATAGCGAAGGCTCATCGTAAAATTGAAATAGATGTTATGGTGGTTTATCATTGTTGACTCTTATCGTCACGTACCCATTGGTCCCTATTCTCTTTAAGGTCGCTCGATCTTTTCACCCTATGAATTTACGCCCTTTGGAAATGGTTGTTTTCCTTGGAGGATGACAACACCCGTCGGCCATTACCTCATTTATCGTGCCCTGCACCCTGTATACGTATATATACATACTCTATGCTTTATGATATACGTCCCGGCTGTGTTCTCTTTTCCCAGAAACACTGACAACGTTCCCTCTTCCCGCAGCTGGCTTGCACCGGCGACTGGCAACATCGCTACGCCAAAAGACAAATAGTTGGCTGCACTGGCACCTGTTACAGAGACCGTGTCTAACTTACGAGCTTCATTCTGATGGAATAATCAAAGGAATTCGCTTACGCAAAGGGGAACTGACCATGTCAGGCGGAACATTCTCAAGTTGATCAACATGGCCTAGGGTGGTTAGCCACCCCCGTAATGCCAAGGGAATTATTTTCATGGTACACAATGAACGTCCACGGATCCGACTTGCGAATTTACGTAAGGCATCATACAGGACGTTTCACGTACAATGTATTTTCACCCCCGGCAGCACGCGCAAAGCCCCGTGGTCCGTTCAGAATAAACAGTTAAGCCGAGGGTGTCACGTTCTTGCAAGAGGATTACGTCGGACCAATCGGTATCGTTGAATTTCATTTAGAGCCGCTCTTGTTAAGCGATTTCGATCTTCCGCGAGAGGAGAGACGGCTGAGCCTCGAAGTAACAACTTGGTGGACAAACGAATCCAGAAATTCGTACAAGGGGGCACTTGCGAACTCGCAAACTCTCGAGCTAAAACGGTCTCTCCTCTTTGCTACGTGATTCTTTCTATTAATTTCTCACTTGGCGCTTGCGTTCGGATTCTCGTGCCAACTCTTTACAACGTTAATTTTGCTTTTGCACGCTTTACGTATCTCGCACGTTGCTCCTAGCAAAAAGCACGAGAGCCATAGACACCCGAAACGGATCTCAGGTTCGGTATACTTTGGGAGTAAGTAAGACGATCTCTTGATTCCAACATAAAACGATCAGGAATTTGACTTAGAAATTCTTAACGTCTATATTTGATTATATATTTTAAACACTTACTGGCTTGTTATTCAGGCTGAACGAGATACGAGTAGGCGGTTTCGATGCCGGCAAACTGCAATTTGCGTTGAGAACATCCCCGGGGTCGTAACGGTCTCGTTCCAGTACGATAGTAGGCCTACCCTGGGGCAATGCTGAAACAGAATTTCGAGATACGTATATGCCGATTAAAGTTTCCTTCGGTGGGGGATTGGAGGGTGGAGGGCGAAGTGGGGGTAAGTACAAATATGATAGCACCCTTTTAACACTTATAAACATACACCTTTTCAGCTCTCAGACTTATTCTATTTTACCGCGGCAACTTACATTGAAGCTGCTACCACAGTTCCGACTGGTATCTTTCTTTGCTTCTATGCATGTGTATACATATATGCAGTCACTTTACGTATATAGTACACTCTCAAAATAGGTACACTCAAGTTTAGCGCTTTACGATGTTTCTCGTACGTTTGCCGTGTGCAGATAGAATAACGTATAAAACAGTCATCGTCGATTTTACTCCAGTAACGCGTATTTCTTTTTCCGTGGTCGATTCTAGGTAGAAAATAACTGGTGATTCGCGAAACGATCGGACGATTAATAGAATCCAGTTAAGTTCTAACGATCGACCCTATAACGTAGGATACTGTAGGATAGCAGTGGATTACTTGGACGTCGAGAAAACTTATGGCTGGATGCTTCGCCCGATTGGGATTGCACGAAAAGCAATATGAGAGGGAGGGAGATGAAAAAATAAAAGAGGGTATACAATTAGAGTACCGTGTATAATATACAGTTAGGCTAGAATCTACCGATTAAATTTTTTATTCCCCCCCCCCCCCCTTTCCCCCCCCCCCACCCCCC